CAGCTTTTAGAACAGATTGGAGGAGTGTGCTGCAGTCGGCAAACTGGGTGGCATCCATGTGGCAGTCAAGCTGCCTTATAATATTGGGCAATAAACAAGCAGGAGCTTTTCTGATCTTTAGCAACTGCACCGTAGTTTCTCATCCTTGGGTAAGAGTAACCTTAGGTCTGCAAGAACAATAACATATTTAAGAATAAAAGGTCTGGGTGACTGCCAGCCCCCATGTCTGGCAATGAAGAGAGCAAGTTTTCATCTGTAAGAGATGTGTTAAAATGCTGCTTATGTCATGGCTGGGATTCTCTGGCATGTGTTGAGTTAAATATAAATAACATTCTGCAGAGCAGTCGGCTAAAAATTGTAGATTAATTAGGTTTCATTGTTATGGTTGAAATCTGTTCTTTAGCTGGATCGTCAAACAACAGAACATGTCGTGTTTGTGTTTCCATGGGTTTTGTATCAGTCCGTGAGTATTTCCGTGCACTTGTACAACCTCACTCAGGATATTGTGTGCTTCGTGAACAGATGGTACTGTGGGCTTTACCAATAGATCCTGTTCCTGCTTGTTCTGCAGTTGGTGTTTTGCAAATGGGACAGGGTATAGCGTGTTTTGTCCCAGAAACTCCCCATCATCGTGGCAGCAGTGCAGTCCCCAGTAAAAAAAAGGAGGGAGAGAGGCAGCGGCTTTGTGCTCGGGGCACGCTGACCACTTCCACCCTTCTCCTCCCTCCTGCCTGATGGACAAGTGCTTGAAGACATGGTCTGGAGGGAGCCTCGCTGTGGGACAACAGATGGGATTTGGGGAGCAGACAGATCTACACCCTGGAGATCTGCTCCATTTCCAGCCGCCCGCGGGTATACAGACAGGCACGTCCACTGTGACTGAGGCGCCAGCGTGTGCCAGAGCTGGGCAGGGCAGCATCCTCCTTCAAAGAGCAGCTTTGCCTGACTGCACTTGGAATTATTTTGATGTTCCAATGTGAGAGACAAGAACCACCAGTGTCTACAAACCTGTGGTGCCTGTCTGTGCTTGCTCAAAGGGCAGGACAGTGGGATGGCACCTGCTTGGTATTTAACCTGCTCCTTGGGGGGAGAGATATCCTTCACATGCATATGTGCTTGGTTGTCCCTTCTCTCTGTAACACCTGAGCACCTTTTTGTGGCTAATGGCTTTTACCCTCAAGATACCCTGTGATGGGGGGGGATATCTTTGAGCAACCTGGGCTAGTAGGAGGTGTCCCTGCCCATGGCAGGGGATGGAACTCGATGATCTCAAAGGTCCCTTCCAACCCAAACCATTCCGTGATTCTATGATTCTATCATTCTCATCTTACAGACAGGGCCCTCAGGCCTGGAGAAGCTGAGTGTTGCCCCAAAGGGTGTAACGGGGACATGCACTGGGCACAGTCACGTTGAGACCTTCCAGTGCCCAGTCCACAGGATCAGAGATCCTTAACCTGGAGTTTGGCTGCAACAGGAGCCCATCAACACAACTTACTGTTGCCTGAAGTCATGGGATGGCTGGGAATTGTTCACAAGGGTGCCTTCCAAAATTTGCTCTTCAGCAAACAGCAAATTTTTCCATATTACCTTGGAGGAAAACATCCTGAGGAAATGGAGTTGATTGTGGTAGTAAATGCATTTGAGATGTGGCAGTGAACTCAGTGCTCCTGATATATCACTTTTCCCTTTCTTCTGACACATTCTTTGGTCCCCTGGAGTAAGAGAAGGAAAACAGGAGAGGCGGTTTGGAGAACATGCTGTCCCTGTGATTGACAAGAGGTTGTATAAATCAGTCAAAGGGAATCCTCCAGGCATTCCCTCTTGTGGGAAGATCCCACAGCGCTCTCTGGCCTTATTCGTTCTGTCTCTCGGTGTTTGTGTACAAAGTGTGTGGGTGGGAGACGAGCTGGATTAGAACCTCTGAGAGGAACAGACATTGGCTCTTTTAATTGAAAGCAGCTTCCCAGGGAGGGGTACGACATGAGCTTCCAGTAAGTAGACACAAATAGTCCCCGAACACTTTGGAGCAGATACTAAGCTCCTGAGGATCCCAGTTGCTGTGTGGGTCTGAGAACCTGGATAAGCCCCAGTGAGCAAAGTTTTGAGTCCTACGTGATGCTGTCGTTCTTCAAAGCAAATATTTCAGTGTCTGGTAACACCCTGCAATGAAAAGTACATCTGTCCCTTCTTCCCTCCACAGCTGTCAGGTGCTTTAGCTGCTGGTTTGTATCACTGTAGCAAACTGGAGGAGGTTAGGAAATAAGCATGAATTCCTATGGATTTGTAGCCATGAGGAGAAGTGATGCTCTGTCTTCCAGGCCATTGGATCTTGTAGCTTAGAAGTGGTGGTGCTGCCGGAGTAAGTGCCTTCACGCTGCTGCCATCTTCTAGGGGTGCCGTTAAGGCAGAGGTGTGAAAGGTTCGCCCAGCAAATGGATCTCAGACTTTGCAGTTGCAGTGTGACACTCAATAACTGGGTAGAATAGAAAAGGGATGTATTTGCCATGTGCATTGGAGCGTGTTGAGATGGTGGAGGCTGTAGATGATTGGGACTGTTTATCCCATCAGGTTGTTACAAAATCTTAAAGAACTTTGCTGCCATTAGCCAAGTTTCCTAGAGAGCAGCTAGTGTAGAAGAGGTTTGGTAGCTGCTCCTAATGTCATGTCTGTTAGACTTTTCCCACACATCTCAATTATGCTCTTTTCCTAAAAGAACTTTTTACCCCAGTACCACTTAGGAACACTTGTCTGAGTTGTGATGGATCAGCCTCAGCAGGAGGAAGCTTATCTAACCTGCTCAAACCAGGCCAGACTGCCGAGCCCGCACACCTCAGCTGCACATGGCTCAAACACAGGCTCTTTATGCAACGTTGGGATTTTTGCTAATATTCTCAGGCAGAAGCAGAAAGTGCTGGAGTTCACACAGGCACACAAATCAAACAAGGCATTTAAAAGTTATCAGAGATTTCCAACCCACCTCAGCAGAGGTTTATTTTGGGTTTGATTCAAACTCTTGGTGAAGGTCTGGGTGATTTCTTAATTCAGGTTTTCACTCATCCATTAAGTGGCACTTAAAATGCACCAAACGTCAGTACTTTTGTTTCTTTCAACCACCTTTTTTTGGACCAGTAGAGCAGGAGGAGATATAAGAACAAAATCATATAAAAGTAATGAGACCTTTGTTCATGTCAAAGAGCTCTCTGACCATATAAATTGCAGATGTGGGTAAGATAAATTCCCTAGCTGGAGAGGTATTAAAATAAAAACCATGCTCCCAACAAGAGACAGGCTGCTGAAAATGCAGGAAGGGAGAATTGCGAAATGGTACATGTCGAATTGCTGGCCTGAATTTCAAATGCCAAAGATAGTTTATGTAAAGCCTTGCTCTGTTGTAAAATGTAACACTATCCACTGGCTAGCCTCAATGAAGCTTGGTCCCAGTTGTTTTAAAAAATAAATAAACTAAAAATCTTCTTCCAGCCCATTAAAGCTGATTTATGTTTTGCCCATAGATTCCTCTGTGCTGGATCTTGAGGGACTCAGATTATAGAGGTGATTACCTCACTTTTAGCCAATCTGGTTTCTCATTCCCAGGCATCCCAGGCTCTCTGTGCATTGCCTAGACTTTGCCTGCCAAGACCAAGAGGACAATTCCATGCAGAAATACTGAGTGGGCAAAGGATTTTGAATGGTTAGACACATTTCTGTTGATCGTCTTGTTTGACTTCAGGGTTTTCTTTTTGTTTTAATAATCAGGGAAATTGCTCATGGGACCAGCTGTACTGACAGCACATCACCACCTGATTGCTCAGTTTAGGCTCTGGTCTTGGAGAGAAATCTAATCCTGTCCCCAAGAGTGCCTGGCTCCAGTTAGCACCTAGTGCAGGTGGGCTGTGTGGTCGGTCCTGGGCTCTCCTGTAGCTAGCATGACTGCTGGAGATGGTTTTGCCTCTTGGGTTACATCTGTAGCTCCATTGCCATTCTACCATGCAACTACAAGGAATTCCCTCGATCCCCATGCCCCTGGTAATGACAATCACTGAGTTCACCAAAGTGTTGTGGATCTTATCAGGTGCCTTAAGATGCTCCAAGAGCCTCAGCTGGAAGCATCCTTCTAATGGAGTTGTAGCCTGTTGCATGTGAACATTTCCTTGTTCTTATTTGGGGCATGAAGGCTATGGTCAAGCATGTTCGTTTTCTGAGCAGTGCGGTTTCAGGGTAAATCCTACCATTTCTTGCAGCTTCATTTTCACATCTGACATGCTGACAGCAGTGCAAGGCTCTCTGGTACTTAAATTCAGACGTTTTCTTCATTGAGCTTTTCATCCATGCCAGCACCTGGGATTCATCTACTTGTTCTTTACTGAAAAGAGCTGTTTGCTTATAATCCCATGCAGCCTGCTGTGGAAAGTGCTGTAGGTGTAGGAAGATGGTGATTCCACTTGCAGAACCTAGTTAAAAAAGAAAAAAAAAAAAAACTAGTTTGCTTAAATTGGGTTGTAGAGACAGGAGTTTCCTGGCTACACTTGCTTCCAAGTGTACATGGCCATCTGTAACTTCCCTGGAATTACAGGGGCATGCAGGTTTAAATAGGGCATTGCTGGAGTACTGTGGAGAGCATCTGCAGAGTGTCTGCGCTGTGAGCTGGTATGATCAGAAGTGATCGTCACTGACTCCAGTGGGAAGAGGCGCGGTCCATTTGGGTGGGAGCAAAGTTGTTCTGAATGCTGTCAAAGACCTCTTACTGAATGAAGAGGAAACTGTTGGCTGCCATTCAGCTGCTGTGAGTCTTTAGCTCCTTTTTATGTTTCATTTTTTTCTTATTGAGATGGAAGACGTGGAAACTTCACTTTTGAATAATCTCATGGTATTTACAGGTGCCACTATTGTGTATTATTTTATTCTAGCAGTGCACCTGGACTTTTTTCTCTACTTTAATCAGTCCTAATACCTCTTACTGTTATCCACGTCTGTTTTGGTGTTTCTTTTTTGTCCTGCAGGTGTGTCGAACTAAGGTGATTGACTTGAATGATGGTGTCTCTCAGTATGCCTGGTATCCCTGCACGGCCAACTTCCAGTACTCCCACATGACACAGACCATTTTCTGGCTGAAGGTAGGAAGTGCACGTCATTCAGAAGTCTTCTCTTTGCCTGTCTCTACAAAGCTTCTACAACAGGCAAAATATCATGGGACAGCCTTCCCAGGGCCAAGCTGCTCCTTTCTTTGAAGTACGTTTAGTGCAAAATAGCAAAAGAAAGTCTCTGAGCGAGAGTCAGTGGTGAAGTCCCCTCCTGTGACAAAGCTATTGAATTTCTGAGAAGTTACAGCCTCCAGCTGCAGGACTGTTTGACTCGAGTTTATCTAGTTTGTGTAGGAGAGACTGGAAGAGAAGACTTCTGTGTGACTTGGGATGGGATTTGTTGCTTTACAAGTCCTGCACTGACTCTTGGGGTCTTTCAAAGCCCACCACAGTTCTCCACCTCAGCTTTTGTGGGGTTTTGTTTTCCCAGGCTTATTTTTCCCAGCCTATGGTAGCTGCAGCAGTCCTAGTTCACTTGGTCACTGATGGGACCTATTACCTGGATCAGAAGCAGGAGACCATCGGTGTGCAGCTGTTTGACACCAAAGAGCAAAGCCATGATCTTGGTAAGATTGTATTTCATTCTTTCTTAATCTGCTGGTACACAAATTGACCGATACTCCTGCTCAGTTTTTCCAGGATCAGACAAAAAAAGTGCTCGCTTAATGCTCCAAGACCCGAGTTTCACTAGTTTGTTGAAAATGATGCGTCATTCTGTGCAGACATTTCTCCATTCACTATGTTTTCAGAAGTGATTAGTTCCTCTTCAGTCACTGAAATACGCACTATTTCAGTGCTTCACTCACAGCACCTCCCTGGAGAGACATTGGTGGTGATTCAGATGAACTGTTGGTAGCGGGAAGTAGGGAACCTGCACGAGCTGGTGCAGCAAATGATTCTGCTTTGCAAGGTGTAGTTGGGGGGATCTCTAGTCCTGCTTGCAGGGAGGTTTCCACAGCTATTTGATGGCCAAAAGTTTTCATGCAAAGTATTTCAAGTTTGATGAAGGTCGAACACCAGGGCCCTTGTGGGATGCTTGCGTGGCCCCAGGCAGGTGTGCCTGACAGAGGCTGTGGACTAGCTGGTTGTGCTGAAGTGCCAGGATGGACCTTTTTTGTCTCTACCCAGGTCCCTGAACCTGGGAAAGTTGTGTCTGGTGAATGGATTCTGCCTGTGTTTAAGCTCCAGGACCAAAGAGCTCCACCTAGCTCCCAACTCTGTGTCAGAGTAGGACTTGGATAATCCCTTTCCAGCTGTCTCCTGCCCTTTTTTTCCACTGGGAAGAAAGCTGCCCGTGTCGCCCTGAGAGCAGTTTTTAAGGAAACATAACCCCTCTCCCCCAGCTTTCTGTTTTACCATAAGTTTGCAGTTCTGACAAGCTGAAACTCCGATGAACTTTCTACTAGTGATGAGAAGAAGGGACTCACAGAAGTGACGAGGTGTTGGATGACTATCCAGGGTAATATATAATTTGGTGGGGTGTGGAGGAAAAGAGAGAAAATATGTGTGATGTCTTTTGTCTGAGAACAAACCAAAATTCATAGCAAGTTGTGCAGGTTGAGTCAGGATAGCTCCCGGTTTGCCAGAGCCCCTGGATTAGTCTTATTCTCCTCCTTTCGCAAAACAGTGGCACTCCCTCTGAGAAATAAATGATGGAGACACAAGCATGCCAACAAATACTTAATGGGGGATTTTATAGAGACAGACAGACAGATTGGGAGAGAAAAAGAACAAGAAAGAGGAGCAAAGAGGAAACTGAGGGTTAGGTTTTGAAATCTTCAATGAAGTTGCAACATGAGTTTGGCATGGCTCGGACTGACGCCTGGAGATCTTCACTGCTGAAATGCTGCCTTCATCGTGGAAAAGCCCCTCTGACCTTTTCAGAAGAGGCTGGCTGGGAGCAGAGGAGAGGTGTAGGTAGGCTACCCAGCAGTTCTCACTCAGACAGAGCTCTCAATCCCTGTTTTGTCTGAGTTTTGGGTGCGGCGTTGAGACTGTTTCCTGGCTATTGCATTTGATGTGTTGGAATTATCGCTGTGGCAAGCTAGAAGCTGCAGCTGAAATGCAAAGTTTGGCATGTGCTGGGTGCAGGATTGACTGCAGACACTCAGCCAGCCTTAAGCAGAAGTTAGTGGCAAATTAAAAGTACATCCAAAAGGAAGCAGCAATAATTTAAAGCTTGATCCTCAGTGTGCTAACGACGCTCCCATGAGCAAAATGCACTCTATCCAGAAGTGCAATTTCCCACCTTGTTCAGAGCAAGTTTTTACCCTGCAGACTCCCAGAAGATAATGAGAAGATTCTTCGGAGTCCCAACAGGAGATGAAGAGTTTGGGATGCCAAACGCCTCAGCACTGGTAGTTCAGAGCCATTGTAGACACCGGGGTTCAGCTGCTTAGTGCTGTGCAAGAGCTGTTGAGTGTTGATGAGGTTGGTGCAGAGCTCCAGAAACAGGAGTGAGTGTGGAGACAGCACCTGTACTATCCTGAGTGGTTTTTTGCTAATGAAGGCAGGTTAGTTAAATGAACCTGACCTGTTCAACCCCCATTTACCTTGTCGGGGTCAGAAAGCATCCGCAACTGCAGCCCAGCTCTGAGGGTCTGTTTGTTGTGGACACCACCTGAGTGCGAGGAATGAAATCGGAGTGAATAAACAGCCTCATACCATAAGGTCTTTCTTGGCTTTCCATCAGAGAAGGCAGAAACTTCCAAGGAATTTGGGAACCCGGGATTTGAAGTATTAACTGCACCTGTTTGTAAGTGAGAAACGTGCACCGTTCCACAAGGAGCCGATATCAAAAGACCTGTGGGAGGCAAGTAGACAGGGAGGTTATTCCAGGGTCAGGTAAAGACCAAAATAAAGAGAGGCTTGCTTTTTTATTTTATTTTTTTTTTTTTTATTACAGGAAGATATATATTTTTTTAAAGTAGAGGGTGGGAGATCGATGTTTAAAGAGAGTGGTCAGAAGTCTGTCTTAATTCACAGGAAATCACTTCCTAAGGAGAAAAATGAAAACTTTTTTATTCCTTCCCTTTTGAGTCAAGAAACTTGAACTGGAAAAAAAAGAAATATAGAAATCCCTGAGCCAGTTAAACATGCAAATAGAATTTATTTTATTTTCAAATTGGTAAGTGTATCAGGATAGCCAAAGGGCCTGGGCCAAAGCCGTTGCTGGGGGAGCTCCAGTGAAGCGAGTGGAGCTGGAGCCAAGCTGATCCTCGGAGCAATGCCACGGACTCGCAGAGGCAGGGCTTTGCAGTCAGCTGGCAGGCCGGGAATCTCAGTTAATGAATTTTGAGGCCAAGCGACAGCTGTCTGTCCTCTGAGTTACCCCTGAGATGGATTTGGCCCATTTGAATTCAGGTTGCCTCTACTTGAAGGTGGGAATTTCTTCCCAGCTCTCACCGAGTGCTTTCTCTGCTGGAGAGAAGGGATTGGGAACTCTCCTTGTCACCTCTCTGGTGCTTCTGTGCATCTCGACCTCTTGAGACCATTTCATTTTCCTGAGACACAATTATTTTTTTTCTCAAATGAGATCACCTGTAAAATCCTCAGTGGGTCCATCACCCTCCTCTCTCTCTCCAGGGCCATCTTTGCCTTTTTTAGCAAAGAGCGAGATACCCTAAGACTGAAAACCATCAAAAGAATGAAAAGTGGGCACATTTGGCCTAGAGCTCATGCAAAAAAAGTTTTCCATTGGGTGCTAATGACATGCACAGCTACAAACAAGCCACCGATGCCTTGCCTACAGTGCACAAAGCCACCCAGCCTGGCGGCACCATTTGATGCGCGGTATAAAGGCTCCAACTGTCCTCTCAGACCGGATTTTACAATAGCGCGACTCCGCTTCCTCTGTGATGGTTGCTCCTGATTTAACAGAGCACAATAGAAACGTAGCCGTGGTATAAAGAAACGGCTCCGAGAGCCTGCCGCGCTCGCAGGGAGAATGGCAGCCTTTCTTCAGCTGTCTGGAGGGATATACTTCTCTGCTAAGCTCTCCGCAGCGATTTGGGAAGCCCCTCCAGGCAGCTTACCATAACTTTGCAGCTCTATAGGGCCATTCCTCTGGGTGAAATGCTTCTGAAGTGCCCAGGGCTCGGGGAAGCGATTGTGTTAAGTCTGACCCTTCCTCTGATCTTGTCTCTCCTCTGGCAGGTGTCCACGTCCTGAGCTGCAGGAACAATCCCCTGATTATCCCCGTCATCCATGACCTCAGTCACCCTTTTTATCACACCCAGGCTGTCCTCATTAGCTTCAGCTCCCAGTTTGTGGCCATCTCCGGGGTGGCCCTGCGTTCTTTCCACAACTTCGACCCCATCACCATCAGCAGCTGCCAGCGAGGACAGACCTACAGCCCGGCGGAGCAGAGGTGAGCCCGTCAGCCCGCGTCCCTCTGCCCCGCCACCCACCGCCCCCGCGCCGGGGTTAAGAGGAGGCAGGAGGGGCACAGCGGCTGAACCCTGCTGACCCCTTTTGTGTGGCTGGGAAAAAAACTGGCAGTGTTCTCATTGATCAGGATGGATGGGACATTTAACCCTCATGGGATACTGCTAGTGAATTATTTCCTCTTCCTTTCTCCTCCCTCCCTTTATCCCAAGCTTGGAATTGGGGCCAGTTAACTCTCCATACATTCCCCAGGACGGCATCATTTTCGCCACTCACACGCTGCCTTCGATCTAAACCGCTTTGTGCTGCTCAAGTGCTACAGGGACCTCCCAGGGAAACGGTCGCACAGAGACAAAGTGATGCTTGTGCCCCGGTGAGGCTGGATCCTGCAAAGTGCTGGGTCCCATGCAGTGGGTGCTTGGCCACCGGCATTCATGGTGCTTGTATGGCTGGGGAAAGGCCCTCAGTACCTTTCCGGATCCAGCCCACGTTCTGAAAAGCTCAGTGGGACCCCCCAGGATGAAAGGTTTATGGCTACCGTTTTATTCTTGTTGTTATTACAGACACATCAATAGATCACCACCAACCCCTCTCGCTCTGTGCTTTACAGCATCCCACAGAGATGGTGACCTTTCGTGGCCTCTGGTGTGGCAGCTTCATGGTTCCTTTCAGCGAGGCAGTGAAAAGAAGAGGGGGGAATTTAGCAAAACCCCTGAAAGAATTTTTTTTTTTTTTTTTCTTACCCTTTCTGAATTCAAAGTTGTGAGGACTCATCATACCATAGCGGCAGCAATAGTAAACCAAGTTGCATATCCCAGCAAACCTCTGCTCAGTCTCCTAAGCAAGTTGTCAGGTTTTTTGATAATGTTCTGGCTTGGGTTTAAGACCTGCTTTTATTCCAGGAAAGGCGGGAGGGTGAGAAGGGGGAGAGGGAAGGGAAAATAAAATTAAAAAAAAAAAAAGAAAGGAGTATATCTATAGCTAAATCAATCCAGTCAGTGTGTTCTGACCTAGATTCGAGGAGTCTGATCATTCTGTGCAATAGGTTGTACAAATTCAGAGGCCCAAAGACAGCAGGATCGAGTTTCAGATGAGAAGTCTGGTTGTGGAAGTTTGGCCAAATCCCAGGGCAAGAGCAGGACAGAAAAAAAGTGAGAAAGCCCCACTGGAAGGAGATGGGGAGAAGCAACAGGGAGCTCGAGAGGGCTGAGGTGCAGGACCACATTCCTCCCTCTGAAGTTTTCAGTAGGAATTGAACCATTTGTTCACTTATGAAATTAGAAGTGCTCCGTGTTTAGAAAGTTATTTCCTTAATAAAGAAATGCATTCCCCTTAGGCAAAGCTGCAGCCAGCCTCTGCAGCCCAGCAAACTAACCTCTAGAAAGCTCTTGAACAAGAATCACCCGCCGTTTGCCTCTTTTTTCTTTTCTTCTTGAATTTTTTTTTGGTGGTGTTTTGTTTCCGTGATGCACTGAACCATCTCAACCCCTTGCTCTCAAAAACTTCCGTCAGAGCGTCGCCCGTTCAAAGTAGCGTCTTAGGTCTCGCAGGTTACAACACTGCATTGATCATAAAGTTTCCCATGTCAGTCAAGGAACTAGAAACTCTCTGAAATAAAGCCCTGATCCAAAGCCAGTTGAAATCAGTGAGATTTCTTTCCATTGATGACAGCGCTATAGTGGAAAATCTCCAGTTTGCCTTGTGGTGGGATCGTTTGGGGTGACCATATGTGCTTTGTTCTGTACAAGAAACTCTGAGCAGTTCAGGTATCCAAGATGTAGAGAAAGTTTTTCATGAACTTGTGCAGCCAGGAAGCAGGTGATGCTTTTTCTGTCACCTGCCACTTTTTTTCTTTGTTATTTTACACAATTCAGGAAAATCACAGAGGGCTTTTTAAAAATTTATTCTTAACCCGTTCAGAAGCTGGAGGTGGGTTTTCTGCCTCCTGTGCTCACGGTCTCCCCATCAGACTCCCTTTGAGTGCCAGTCCCACACAGCCCAACCTTCCCTTCTTCTCTTTCTCTACCAGTTGCATTTGCCTAATATGATTTGAAAAATATTTATTTATTTTTGAAAGGAACTTTCCTTCCTATGCGCAAGCATCAATTTTACCGCTTTCATTTTCCTTAGGTCAACATGGATATTTTGCCTGCTTTTTGGCTTCACTCTACAAGAGATATTATTTCTGTTTCTTCAAGGAAAATTATTTTGGTTGGAGAGGATTTATAGTCAGATACAGATGCTTCTAGGCAAGGGTGCAGATTTTAAATATGTGAGGGAAAAGAAATATATTGGCCCTTAAAAGTTAACATAGCTTTTATTTTGAAACCACAGTAGGGTGAATGGATCACTCCCATGGGTTAGTGACAACTTAATAACTGAAAATAAAACACACGCTCACTCTTCTTTCTTAAAATATGTATTGCAGTTAATATTTTAGAAGAGAAAAAGGAGCTTAAATGCAAACGTCCCATTAAACTTCATAGGTAGTTGCGCTTGTTAGCTGTTTTGAAAATCCATTCCATCCTTCTGAAGACATTTATAGAGGATTTGGAAAAAAAAAAAAAAAGTCCTCTGTACTTTCCAGTTGTATTTTTCCAGTTGTTGGGTCTTCTGCTGCAGGTGATCACAGGCAAAAGTTTACCTCGCTGCTGGAGATGTGCTGCAAAAATGACACATTTTATTTTCATGTTGCATCCTTAGATGGGATAGAACAGCCCAGTTCTTCTCTTGCACTTTATGGTTCAAATTATTCTGCTTTTATTCTTTAGCCTCATGGAGTGGACGGTGACAGGGGGTGTGCAGCAGCAGGGGTGTCATTTCCCACCCCGTGGTCACTCGAGCAGCAGGAACGCCTGGTGCCTTGGGGCTGCCTTGGACAGTGGTTCCCCAGAAATTGGGTTTTTGTCCTTTTCACCATGTAGGAAACAGCATCTGGGGGTCTCCCCTCCCTGGCAAGGCAGTTCTGGTGAAGTCCTGTGTTCCCTCGGTGGCATTTCCCTGCCATGTTCACAAATCCTGTCCCCTCCTCCATCCCACCTGGTGCCATTTGCTCCTCTCCTGGAAACTGGAGGTGGGAAAACTCAGGTTGACACCCAAATCCAGCTGTCAGAATTGCGGATTTTGGGATTTTCCGACTCTATAATCCTCCATTAACTCTGTGTTTGTAACAAAGATAAGCCTCCCCTCCACTCTCCACGACCCCACGTCGTGCAGCCCCTTGTGCTTCCTAATGTCACAAAACCATTTTCCCTTTTCTTTATTTGGTTAAGTCTTGTCACGAACTCGCCGTTACGGCTGCAAAATTGCAGGGGGAGATTTGGGCTTTACCTTCCTCTGTAAGTGTGCACATCTGGGTGTTTGACAGCTGGGGGGGACCAGTAGTGCAGACCAAGACCAGCTCCTGGCCAGCACAGCATCGCCTGCCCTCGCCCCAGCCCCCCAGCTTCACTCTTCACTGCCCCAAACAAGCCCCGGGGAGACGTCGCCCGCTCCAGCTCCTCTCTTTGTCTTTTTCTCTCCTGCTGTCATCTTCCCCAACAAGAAACGATGAAGATAAATCTTCAGCAGCAGAACAAATGCAACCGCCCTTTATAACTCTGGGTATTTTTTTTTTTTCCTTTTTATAAGGAGGGGGGGAAAGGGTTTCCTTTGCTCTCTTTTTTTTGTGATTTAATGCAGCTTTCTCTTTCCTGATTGAGCCGTCTTTCCCCTGCCCTGCGTTCTGTCATTAAGCGCAATCTCTGTCAGCTCGCTTCTGGTGAAATTAATGAATTTCTCACAGAACTGTTAATCATAGAAGCTTTGGCCCATGACATGTGTTATAATTCAATGGGTTTTTAACCTTCGCCCCATTTTGGTAATTGGCAAACGGCATCATTTGGCTTTTATTAAAGCGGAAGGCGACGCGTTTTCTTTGTTTGCCTGGACAGACTCTGGCAGGGAGACCTGCAGGGCTGCTGACGCCCAGGCGCACGGTCCCGCTGGCAGGCTGGCAGGGCAAAGGGGCTCTCAGAGCTTTATCGGTTCAATATGGACCCCCCAGGCAGGAATATCTCACACAACGGGGCTCAGGCAGGCTGGAGGCAGAGCCAGTCCCCAGGGAGAACGTTGTCCTGCTGGTGGTGGGGACAGGGGTGGAGATGTGCTGGCTTATTCCTCTCCTTCCCCTATAGCTTACGTGGGCTTGGATCCAGTGTTTTCAGTGAATCTCTGGGTTTCTCCCCATTCCTGACCTACCCATGTGAACTGGGGTTTTGCTGTGATCGCTGTCAGAGTCAGGCCCAGCGGTACTCTGGTGGGATCTCTGAAGAGACTGTAGGTGATGCTACTCTTTCAGTTACTCTCATGGACTAGATTTGAAGGCAAACACCTAAAAGGCAAGGGCTTGATCCTTCTTCTAGTGACACAGTCAGCACAGGTTCACTGGTCCCCAGCCAGCCCCGAGGATTCGGGTAGATATTCTTCGAGATTTTGTGTTAGTACAAGGATGTCGATGTGTTTTAGCTGAAGACTGAAGAAGATAAGTTCGTTGCCACCTTTGCAATTCATACTTTTTTTAATTTCTGCAACAAGGCTCATGCCTAGCAGTCTTTGCTTTTCAAAATGCTGCAAATATGTTTGGATTAGAGAGAACCTGCTCTTGCCTTTAGAGGAATCTCTACAGATGAGAAGACAAACCCATTGTAAGGATAAATCCTTTAGAAAAAAACCCTCAGAAGGCTACATGTGTGAGACTTGTATGTATGGTGGAGTAGAACAAAACCAAATATGCTTCAAATCTGCAGCTCAGGCTGGTCTGGACTGTGGCAAAGGAAGTTTTTCCTATGTGCCATAGATAATGGTGGGGCTCTGCTCATAACAAGAGTGCACCAGAAGCTGTTATGCTCACCTATGCATAGATATGTGTGTCAGAGCTATCACGAAGAAAACAAATAATTAGGGCACTATGCTGAGTTCTTGGAAAAGCGCTTGACCCCAGGGTTAGGCAAAGAAAGCTTGGCTGCTGTAAGCTTTTCAAAAGAGGAAGTCCTGGATTGTTTTTTATGTGAGGAAGGAAGAGTTCCACTTAATTGTTGTAATTCTCTATAAACATGTTAAAATACAAATGTTTCTAGGATTGTGTCAGTAAGACCCCAATTTAGCAAAGCCCGTAGCTATTTGCTTACATCCCCCTGTAGTCAAATCTATCAGTGGGACTTAACCGTGCTTTTGAAGTTAAGCACAGATTTAAGTGCCTCGCTGAACTGGGGCCAATATTGGCACAGAGAAATAAAGATTTAGAGGCTAATGACTGAGCTCATTTAGATTAGGGATGGGCAGAATGGATTTGAATAAAGTAAGAACTGGCTCAGAACTTCAGCCTGCATGTGAAGCTAACTCATTTCAGGGCTTTTTACATCATCGCAACGGTCTGCTTTGATCTGTGTTTTTAACATACTGCAGGTGGTGGAACGTGTGCGAGAAATCCTCTGCTCCTTGCGCACACCTTGGTGTGAAAATGTTGCTTCGGGAAATCATACACTGCCAGGGCAAGAACAGGAACAGGTGAATCCTGAGGTGGATTTAGCGAAGTAAATACTGTCAGGGAATATCCCACGGCCCAACACTTGTTTGTTACTTATATACCGGCAAATCATTAGGGTGGTCCTTGGGCCCCTTGCATAGCAGTTGGCCAGACCAGCTCACACTACGGCAGGCAATGCCCAGGTGCATTTGGAGAGCTAGGATAGACCAGGGATGGCTTGATGTAGGCAGTTTTGATGAAGTCAGCCAATTTTGCTTGGAAGAAAATGGGATAAGCTGTCCTTTGCCAGGAGACGACATGAGTTAAAGTAGGAGTGACTTCATTCTAAGATACTCTATATTATTTCTTTCCCAAGGAATGCATAGTTTCTGGAGCATGTGATGATTAACCACTGTTGAATGGCAGTGCCCATGCAAGAGCTTCTGTAACCCACAATTCTGCAATATGGATGTGATGGGTTCTTTGTCTGAACTTCCTACTTGGAGATATTAATTTCTCCTTCTTAATTCTGCATTTGCAGAACTCAACTCAAGATCGTGACTTCAAAATTTGTTGGGATTTACGGCTGACAGTAGCTGATACCAAATTGGAACCAGTAGCTAGAGAACCAGAAATATTTAAATTGGAAACATTTGGTGGCAGTGGTTGTTTTTTTACAAAAAGTGAATGGTTGTATTGTTTGTCACTGAAATCATTCATATAGAGTTACAGACAGAGCGAGCTGCCCAGATGATCTGCTAACCGAGGCATAATCTGGAGCCTGGAGGGGGTGGCTAAAAATGTTCCCTGGCCATTTCAGAAGACCACAAGGGGACTTGTAAACAGAAAGAAGAACATCACAATAAGTGTTTCTTAATGCCTTTGTCTGTGGCGTTTCAGTTCTGTAGGACTTTTAAGCCCAGGCTTGCTCATCTGGTGTCCTGATATGAACTCAAGAAACCAGATTCTTTTTCTCCTTTATGTTGATGGAAATGAAAAGCAATGCCACTGACTGCGGTGACGTTGCTCCAGATTTCCCTTTGTGCAAATTGCAAAGGTTTTCTTGGGCTCATCCTTCCCTCTAAAGCCATTCAAGGCTGAATTCAGCGCTACATCAATATGTAGCACATTGGTTCACACAAGTATTAAATGAAATAGGTCTGCTATTATTTTATTTTTCCAACTTTAGTACAAAAAGCTTTTCAGATTTTGTGGGAGTTTTGCAATGGGCAGTGAAGGTTTGCAATATGTACTTCTGAGAATGGCTTGGCAATAGTGCTCCTTTTTTTCCTCAATGAGTCAACTTCCTTGTCGCCAGAGCCCTGGCACGGGAGGGACTCGTACTGCAGCCTCACCGTCTGAAAAACGCAGGGGAGCAAAGTGCCTTCATGGGTAGGTGGAACTGGTAACAAGACATCATTCATCATTTACGTGCTCACTCAACATCCATGTTCAGATATTCTTGCTAATGTTAATTGGTGACCTACCCAACGAGCAGTGCTGTGAGGTCAATGGTGAGGGACTGCTCTGCGCGGGGAGCTGCAGTACGTGGGACTGCTCCAGAAACAGAGTGAAGTCTGTGTTTCACACGCCTGGGTGATTCCTGTTGGGTATTTAGAAGAGAATTGCACATGGCTGTTCTTCTCGCCTCTTTTCTCTGCAACAGAAGACCACCTGGGCGTGAGGATGTACTATCCACTTGTTCTTCCACCATCTCTTCCACAGTCTTATTGACTGGTGCACAGTGAAATCAATGGCAGTTTAGATTTGTGTGTCAGGCTGTGTGTTGCAGTGACTGGAAAACACACATGAAACCCTTGGTGTGGGAGGGGAGAGAACCTACTGAAGGTAGGATCACTCCATGTAGGTCACCTCTGTCAGAGCATCACAGTTGTAGTGCTGATGACAGGACGCTGTTTGTTACATACAAGTTTGCCAACACAGAGGTGGAATTCTCCTTCCTCTGTCCTGCCAGCTGCAATGCTTCATACACAATGAGGAAATAAGATCTTTCTGAATGTAGAAATTGTGTATGGCTCATTGCACTCCAGGGAAGGGTCTCCACTGAACAGGCAATCTTAAATTCCAATCAGTGGGCACTTTCCATATAACTCTGGTCTGGGACAGAGAAATGAGTTGTGGAGGTACATTATATTGTTGTTTAATCTGATCTAGAGCTCAGTAGAGACATGTGCAGATGTGCTTCTCTATCAGTAACATGGGGATAACAATACAAGCACAGGTGTCTCACAGAGGTGTCATGAAAATTAATTAGATAATGTCTGCACAATGCTTTGAACACAGCAAAACACCGTGTACGTGCTAAGTCCTGTGCTTACTAAGGTGGATGGTGTTTTGGTGGTTGTTCACCCTTTTTCTAGGAGATGGGAATAGCTTGCTTGTAAATAATTTCAAAATATGTGTATTGGTGCATTGCTTTCCCTTCTTTCTATAAGTTTCTGTGTTTCAGGTTCTTCCCTACCTGTGTAGATAGTGAAATAAGTCAAGGTTTTTCCTCCTCAGGATTAATTTAACTGTATTTCATTTAAATTCAGTTTAATTTTCAGCAGAGGCATACCACCTCGTAGGAATCCTTAACCCCAGAAATTTTGTCTCTAATCCAGCAAAATGTCTTTGCACAAGCTTGAAGACTCTCAGCATTTTCATTGCCCTTCAGCTGCCCCATACTCACATTTAAACATGTGCTATAACGTTTGACTCAGGTCATCAGAGATGGTGAAAGATTTTGTGTCAACCAGACATCTCTGTGTATACAGAAATAAAACCAAAACCTCTTCTTAGAAGTTGTGCTAAATGTTAACGACAATTCACTGTAGGGAGAGCAGAGAGTTTCCATCCGGGGAAACATTTTATGGATGGCAGGACAGCAACGGGAGAGATGTGAAATGACAGCATGCTGCCGGGCTTGATAAGAGCTTATCAACACAGCTACACAGCTGATGGTGAAGTGGAATCAAATGAATGTGTTGATTTTGATCGAGTTTCTGAAAGATAAGACTGTCTGTCTCAGAACCCCCTCCTCACACATACATGCTTATCGCTAGCAATATCAGTCACTCCTGAGTTCAGCAGATTTCAAACTGGATGGGGTGTAAGGGCTGCTCTTGGAGGGAGAGTGCTCTCGAGGGGGGGATGGATGGATGGATGCATGTTGGTACAAGAGGAGGAAGGCCACGGTGCAGTCGCTCGTGTTGTTTCTCCTCTGTGAATATTGCAGAACAGAAAGTAGTGCTGCAGAATTGGCAGGCTCTTCCCTTTTGTCACAAGACCTGTAATTTGCTTTCATTGTCATCACCCTTACCACTGTCCCCGTCCTTCGGAAGACATAACAAAAGGGTGAGCTCACGGGCGAGGAGCCCTTTGCCGAGTCAGGTTCAGTACACAGCCCACATACCTGCTGTCTGACAGGTGATGAGTTCGTCAGTCAGACACACTTGCTCTTGTGAAATGAATTAAATGAATTGAATAAAAATACTTCTTGTCTCCCGTCTAGCTGTGTCCACTACTCCTGTGAAGCCACCGACTGCCAGAAGCTGGAGATCGAGAACGCTCTGCTGAACTGCACCGGCGGCGGGTGGTACAACGGCGCCCAGTGCAACGTCAGCTGCAAGGCGGGACACATCCTGCACGTCCAGCGAGACGATGAGCTCAGCAAGAGCCAGGTTAGTTCTGCTGGTTTGGTATGACCCGCAAGACAGGGATGAGCAAAGAGATGTGGAGAAACTGAGAAATAACCCAGCCTAAAACCCAAAATCTCAGCTCAGCCTTGGGACAGGCCTGATCCAAATATTTCTCATCAGAACAGGAGCCATCAGACTCTGTAGGAAGAGGTACTGACAGTGAGCAAAGCTCAGATATTGCCCAAATTTAGAAATTTTCAACCCAAAAGGTTTAAATATGTGTTCAGGCCTTCTCTGCCTGAACTGAAGGCACTGGCTCTGTTCAGCCAGCCTTTCTTGGGTTGGTTTTTTGAGAGTGGGGTGTTTGGTGTTCTGCACAACCTGTTTCTGGGCAAAACATCTCATTTTTATTCCTTGGGTTGAGGCTAACCATGTCTTAACTCCTTTGCAGTGTTTCAGTCCATCTGCTTCCAGCCACACCCTGACACTGCAGAAATGCATGGTATTGGGGGGAGGAAAAAGCTCCCAAACCTTTTTGCTTCCAAAACACCAAAAATCTACCCCAGCAGTCCAGGGAGTGCTCCCCATCTTCTCTAAGCCATGCATTAATAATACAGTCCTACAAAGCAGCGTGTCTTGATGCAGTGAGTGGGATATTCAGGAAAGCTATCAATTTCTTGAAATATTAAAAAATGCAGGTCCTTTGTGCTGGGGGAGGTGGACGAGGTGTATGTGCAGCATCACCCAGCCTTGGCGTACTGCTGGGAGTGGGGTGCAGGGGATACATGGGTGCAGGATGGGCATCTCTCATCTCTAATGCTGCCGGGTGCTGTGAGTGCAATGTGGGGATGGTTTCCCCCATCAGCACCTTCTTGGGTGTTGTCAGGGCAGAAGGCACATCTGGGGCTGGGGAGGCTTGGGGCAGGCGGCCGTGCTCAGCAGCCTGTCTGTATTTGTGAAATCCTGTGTTCTTCATCAGCTCACGGAGGGGGGAGACGGAGCGGAGGGGAATGAGTCAGCCCTTTCAACTCAATTACAAAATAAATACAGGACCCCACGAGCTGGGCCTCTTCCATCCTAATTGGCATCAGCACCAGAACCCCAGCTCCAGCTGAGCATTTTTACAGAACAGAAAACAAGTTCTCCAACAAGCCTGAATGGCTGAACCAGGAAATAGTTGGAAGGGATCTGTACATGGAGCACACAGGAATCCCAAACCAAATAAAACAGCCCGAGCATGTTCCACCAGCGCTGTGCTATTTAAATGCAAGAACTACCTTTTGGGAAGGCTCAGCCGACTGTATGTGATTTTGCTCTGAGAAGTTTGGTTTCAGAGCCTTGATCAGACTCATATGACAGGAGCGGAGGATTTTAGCACCCCTTGTGAACGTGTTTCATTGCCTGTTACAACACACTTCCTCTCCCCCTGCTCTACTGTTGCACTTCATCGTCTTTTTCCACTGATGAAAACCCTGAGGCCAGTGGCTTTGTTTTGCTCAGTGCTGTGCCTTCACTGTTCCAATCTGGGAAGGAGTGGAGCATCTTAAAGATATCCATGTTCAGCTGAACACATTAAATGTGTGCTTTAAAAGTTTATTCATGTCCTTTGGGTCTCTTTTGAAAAGGAACAGACAGTTTCTTTCGCTATCATCTTGTTTTATTTCTTTGTGTCAGGTGCTTCAAGCCAGAACTTGTGGAACGTGTAGGCAAGAAATGAATTATCCGAGAAAGTCCGGAATCCGTGGTTTGGATTCCTCGTATTGTTGTTGTATTGAATTGCATTGTGCTCCTTCCACAATCGCTTACCAGATTCAGCTCCTCTTCTGATGACAAGCATTTGGAGATGAGATAGGGCGTGTGGATTGTTATCTGTGGTCAGAGGGAAGTGCTGCCGTGATTGAGGAACCTTGCACAAAGCTGGTGGTTGGTTCATTGGCGTCATTTAGTTGGATATTTTTCTTGATTGGGTGATTTGAGGGTCCAGAGCTATTTTTTTCTCATTTAACTGACAGTGTGGGGGCCTGCACGAGGAAGAGGAGGAAGGAAAATAGTTTTGCACATGCTGAGGTTTCACACTCTTGGGTAGGAAGGAGGCTGAGGTGGGGTGCAATGTCTCAAAGAACATCGGTGGTCCATGGCCACTGCATGCTGATGAAGATGATTGACGGGCCAGTGAAAACATCCTGGTTTAGCATCTGAACCACGTTTGTCTTCCGCATTTCACTGAAAGGCAGAAAAAAGGGTGAACAGAGAACTAAAGGCAACATTTTCAAAAGCACCTCAGAGGTGTAGGGCCACAAGTCACATTTCAAATCAATCTTTTACATCTAAGGGGTCTTTGAAAATCTTCTTAACAGTTTCTGCACTTTCTGGCCTCTGTGTCTTCTGAAGCCACCATTTTAATCAGTCTTAGGGCAAAAAATCCATTCATCTCTGCTCTCTGAGAAGCTCCCATTCCCAAATTCTCTTAAAACTCCATAAAATCACCAAACCCTAAAAACATCAGCACTATGTGCAGTAGAAACTGTTCGCTACTTGAAAATAAATAAAAAGCTGAGCTGTTTACAGACTCTTGGGCTCTCTCTCATCTTCATTGAGGGACTTCAGCAAGAACAAAGGGGGGGTTGCATAGCAAAATCCTTCATGTATCTTTCTCACCAAGATGATCTCAGGATGTTTTCATTTCCCCCCCCCATGTCTTCCCACCCCCCTGACAACTCCATCGCTCTTTCTTCTCTTCCCCCTCTTTCCTCCCTTTGTCTTTCAGTGCTTTCCTCCCCCTTGTCCTTCGCTGAAAGCCCCGCTCATTCAGTTCCTTGTTGTCGTCTCTCCTTGAAGCTGCCACCACCGCTGCTCTGGTCAAGAGGTGTTATTTAAAACCCAGCAGCTCCCTAATGTTGTGCAAAGGCATCATCAATCATGCCAGGAAAAGAAAGCGCGGCTCATGTGGGTTCAATTAGAAGCACAGTAGTGGGCAGAAGTGGAAGAATACTTAGAGAGGAGGGCACAGCTGTTCATTTTTAAGGAGAGGAAACTTCACATGTGAAGCATCGCTTGAAGAAGGAGCCGGCTGGGATCTCGGGCAGCAGGAAGGAGAATTCATAAATGAATTCTCCCAAGCTGTTAAAAGTCCCAAGAAACAACTCTTTCTGGCACCAGATTTGTTTAAGTTTGCATCCTCTTCACTGTACTGTACGCTGTATCTTTGGAGGCCTTTTTAAAAATTTTTTCCCCTCTCTTTTGTCCTCTCGCCCGCCCTCCCTCCTTGCGTAAGCCTCGTTTGGAAGGCAGGACTCGAAGGGAAGCGGTTGCTGCGATGCCAGTCAAAGCAGCGCAAAGTGCCCAAAGTGACAGCTAATAAACCAGCTGAGAAAGCCGAGCGCTCGGTACGGACTGCAGCGAGCCGGGTGACCTTGTCGGATCAGACAGGCGAAACAGGCACGTGCCTGCCTGGGCGGCGGGTGGGAGATGCAGATGCTGCCACAGAGACCCTGGAGCCGATGGTGGCACTGTGTGGGTTGGAAATACCCCTGATGTGCAGCGTGGTGCTGGGGAGAGATGGGCTCCAGCTCCACAGCCTGAGGTCCTGCCCCCGGCGCTGCAACGCTCCCCCCTTCAGGTGGGACATGGCAAGAGGGAGAAGCTGAGAGCTGGTGGGTGCCATCTGTGATGGTTTCCATGGTAGGCTGTCCTCTGCGCTTTCAGCCAAAGCTGCTAGTCTTTGTCTCCATCACAGGGAATGTTCTCTGTTCTGTTCTGGTGCAGAAGTGCATGTGCTCCTATTGTGTGAAGTGATGACGTGATAGACACGCTCTGAAATGTGCCATTATTATGTCTGACCTTGAAAACCTCAGCTTCCATCGTATGAAGTGTGGAACAAATTACGGGGAAAACCTTGAGAAGCCAGGGTCCTACCCACATAGGCACAGCTTCTCTGCGTGGGAATGGCCTTGCCAGGGTGCCAGGAAGAGGAAGAGCCATGTGGGTCTGGAGGGAGGTGACTCTTCCAGATTTGGTTTGTGTTCTTGTTGAGAAAGTACCGGAGGGAAAAACTCTGTGATGAAATCGTGGAGACAATTATTTTTTTTTTCCACATCAAGGTCTAGGACAGGGGCAGAAATAAAGTGCAGTGGGAGTATAGATCTAATGAGGGATCCCTTCCAAGGAGGGGTGACCTCAGGTGTGTTGAGTTTCCAGCAGGGTGTAGTGTCCTGCAGCTTTCTGTTGACAAGAACCCATGGCTGCAGCTGAAATACCTTCACAAGTGTCAGTCTGGGCAAAACCTTCTTGCCCATTTTCTGTAAGGTGTGACTGTCATGCACAGATATGGCTTCTGGTTTAGTTTTTGTTTTATATTCTGAATTATGAATTTGCACTGTTTATTTACGTAGAGCTACATCTGATTTGCAACCCTGTCATTAGAGAAACTCCCTTGTGCACCACATTGTGTCTCAGCAGCTAGTAGGACCAATCATCTATTCCTAAACTAGATCACAGCAACACCGGTAACTGAATTCTTGGAGTTGAAACTCCAGCTTCCCTGTGCTCAGTGTGGTTCCAGCATCCAGCAAGGTGCAGTGCAAGACCCATGTCTTTTCCCTGACATTTGGATAGCCCATGACATCAATAGCTTGGTCGTATGTTTTAACCTCCTGGTGTGGAGGCTCCCAGCAGCGTGGTGCTGGAGTGTTATTTGATGATGGCACGTGTTAAGGGAAAGGGAGGCTTTGATGAATGCTGGAGCAGCCCAGCCAGTGTGGTGGTGATGCTGCTGGGTGTGTGCTTTATGAAGACATGAAAATATACCGTATCATCCCTTCTCCTGTGGCCATCAGAATCACACCACAACTTCACGGAAGCATAGGTGTCTTCAAGTCATCAACTGTCTACAAAATACATAGACTTTTAATAGTGCAGGTAATCTGATAACCAGCAAAGGCAGAATTAACAGCCACTGGGGAGCAAAATGAGGAATGCAAACACAAAGTGTCACTTCACCTGAGCACTCCGTGAATCCCAGAATGTGCTACTCTAAATTTGTAGAAAAGACATTTTTTTCCATCAGCACTGCTCCCTGTTTAAATAAACTCCATGGTCTAGAAAAGGGGTTTTGTGCCCACTTGGGAAGTGTCCAGTTTCTCAGCTCTGGGACTGCTTTTTCCATTCTGAATGCAACCATATATCAAAGGGAGACAGGTCTGAACTTCTGTTGAAACCATTAGGGTGTTTTTGCAAAAAAAGGGAATCCAGGTCCCTTTGATGTGTGCTAGAAAAATTCCTCTTCCTTTTATAAACCCAGATCAATGGTCGGCAGTGCAAATCTCCTGTGAGCGTACCAGCCCTGAATAAAATATTCCCCGGAGGCAGAGGAGTGCTGCTGTACAGCTTGGTCTGATTCCTCACTGGTATCTTCCCCTTCTTGTGTTTGGGTTTCTCACATTTCTTTTTCTTCTGTCCCTCTTTTTATTCTAGTATGGAGGGGTGTGTCCTCCTTTCTGATTCTTCACTTCTAGTTTTTAACATTTTTCCCTTTTTCATTAGAAAGCGGATATGTTGTTTATTCTGGTCTCTCTGCCAACATCTGTTTGTCCTTCTGTCACCCAGTAAATTCTTCATCTTAGCATTGGACGGCTAGCTCCTTTACCTCACCCCCTCTTTTTTTTTTTCTCTCTTTAGCACTGCAGGATTTCAGGCCGCTGCATTGTTTGGATTATTCCTCAAATCCGTAGAAGTGTAGCTTCTGTGTAGCCATGATGGTAGAGTGACTTTAGGGAAGTCAGAGCACAGACACTGACTCTGTATTCGATCTCTCAAGTGCCAAGTGAGTGCATGGGCAGGATGCTCTTGGGTCTGTCCATTACAAACTTCTCCAGGAAAAAGTCTGTCTCTCAGGCATGCGCGTCCCCAGTGCCAGGGCAGCAGGACTCTGACATCCTTTGGGGCCTCGGGGCACTCTGACAGTAGAAGCCATGACAGAGGCTGTCAGTATCCAAACACAGCGTTGACATGGCCCAGGCCACCTCCCCTGGTCCCCCAGTCCAAGGGCAACTGACACCTCTTGGGAGAGCCTTGGATGGGAGTCCCAAATGGCTTCATGTCAGGGTGGCTTTTACTTCAAACCCAAGAGTGAGTTTGACTGCTCAGGAGGGAATGGGGCTCCCCTCGGAGTGGCCGTGTCACGGCAGAGGTGACAGGGATGGGGGATAGCTGTCAACTCCAGACAGCTCTGACTTGCACGCTCCTTTCTGGACACAGGCGGAGCAGCGGGCTTCCCGGCTTGTCTCGAGAGGTGATGCAGGCAAGAGTTCTGATTATTTGTAGTGCTCCACTCTTTATATTGAAGCACTTTGGTGTCTCGCCCCAGAGGTGACAGAAATACCTCCTGGTTCTCTGACGCTGTTTCTTGTGGGACCTTGGTGGTTTTAGAAGCTGCTGTCCAAATGATGATGGTAGTGATCAAGCCTGGTTTTGCTTAACTTGTGAGCCAAAAGAGTGGCTGTTATTAGGCTTGAAATGGTTTTGACCTCTCCGTTGGTGGCTGTAGGCATGTGTCTTTTTCCAGATGGAGCCCAGCATCACCATCACTTGCACAGATGGGAAGTGGAACAAGCAGGTGACCTGCGAGCCCGTGGACTGTGGCATCCCAGACCAGTACCACGTCTACCCAGCCACCTTCAACTGCAGCGAGGGGACCACCTTTGGCAAGAAATGCTCCTTCACTTGCCGACCTCCTGCTCTTCTGAAAGGTATCGTAGGGTGTCTGTGCAGCGACTTGGGGAGAGCTAACACAAGCTGCTGCTAATAATATATGTTACTATTGCTGTTGGTTTGGAATTATTCATGATATTTTAAGTATGAAGAATTATGAGATTCTGTGGGAAGGTTTATTTATATTAGAAGTTAAGTTCCTTTGCATCTCTCTATTACCTTCCTTTGACCTTTTCTTGATCACGGCTGGCCAGGCAGTAATGACAGTGGATATTGCTTCCATACAACCAAAACATGGAAAAGTCATGGGGATAAGTCAAATTTGAACTCTCTCATCTTCTTTCCCATGCCTTCTCTGCTGTCTGTGTCTCTCTCCCTTTTGTGCCTCCTCCATGTATTTGGAAAGGCAGAGAAGACTGAAAAGTCCCATGTCCTGGTGGCGCAGTCCCCCAGCACTGTTTTTCCTAATGCATCCATCACCCCTCTCCTTTTCCACACTCGCCTTGCTCTACCCCTGACCTTTTTCTCCTCTTCTTGTCTGGGACTCTCTACATTTTTTTTTTTTCTTGAAAATAACACACTCTGCTGCTTTCTTTCTTTTGTTATCCATCTTTTCTGATAGCATCCCCATCATCTTCTCAGCACCATCAACTCTTCTGCTCACTGGCATGTTACACTTTTTGATCTGGTCCTCAGGAAACAAGAAAAGATGTTGTTGTTGATTTGAAGGAGCATTAAAGACAAATTAACTTGCCATCTTGCAGTGGTGTAATCTTAACTGCTGTTGTTGACTCAGGTACAGATGCTGTATGAGCTCTTTTTGGATTTGTGGTATCACCTCCTCTGCTAGGATTCATTGAGAACTCCAGAAAAGGCATGGGAAGTGTTCTTCATTTCACTGAAAGGATATGTTGATTTCTTCATATATAACCAAATTGCTTCATTCTTTTAACTCAGACTTAGGAGAGTAACCACAAGCAGCCGACACACGGCAAAAGCTAAGACTGCTCAAAAGGGAGATTTTTATAAAATAATTAGCTTTTTCTGTTCATACACACAGAGGGTCATTTTCAACAAGAGGTGGCTTTTTTTTCATTGAAAATGCCTGGAATTTTTTTGAGGGGGTGGTCAAAGTAATGATGATATTCATCATGACCAACAGGAGCTTCAGCTGATGACTCCGGTGGGGGTAGCGGGAGGGATGATACCCAGCCCCCAGGTCAGGGGGTGCAGCTGTGGCATGCAGCATCACCTCACTTTTGTCCGGAAACTTTGTGACCTGGAGGTAAAGGCACCATTTGGTGTACAGCCATGGGTGATGACTAATAGATGTTGCCACTAAGCTTCTGGAGAATGGCGTTCGAATGACTCATGCCTAATTCAATCACTGACGTCATGACAGCCACGGTTGGTAATGTCACAGCTTATCACTTCGCAGTGGCAAGTATGATATCACCAGAGCTGCTGCATGAGTCAGAGCAGAGGAGCATGCTGGTGCTCCAGAAAAGAGCTCCCTTCTGCACTAAATACCTCTGCAATCATCTGCAGTTGGGGAGAAGAGAGAGCAAGCCAGGGCTGATTTAGTGCGGCTTCTCTTATCTTGGTGGGGAGGGCAGGAGGGCTCCTCCACATACCTTCCTGAGCCCTCCAGAGTCTTTTGTTTTCTTCTTCTTTGAATTGCAACCTCATGCCCCGGCTCTCTTCCTTCCCTCTCAGAGAGATGGCATTGCTCTGGGGTTAGCAGTTTGTCAGTATTATTTTGGATAACTCCAAAGTTGGCTTACATACTTGCAAATATGCCTTGTGGGTTGAGCAGAGTTCCTGCAGCAATGCTGAGGGATTTCAAGAGAGTATTAGGGATTTTTGAAGGGTTAGTGGCTCATAGCTGCGCTTTGTTTCTTAGGAAAAGCTTATTCCTTTTCAACATACAGTGTAAAACAACAAAGAATGTAAAATACACCGAGACTAGGCTACTTTTAGCTTCACCTTCTGAAGTCAAGTAGGTTACAACAGAGGCAAATAGATCTATTGTACCTTTTAACTTTGAGGTGCTGGCCAAGAAAGCTTCCGAAGGAAAATGAGTCTCTAATGAGTATTCGGAATTGTGTTTATCACAGTAGTCCCCAAGGACTGAGAGTCCCCAGCTGAGAAGGGCTCCTCATTGTGTTGGAGTAGTGACTCTAACACTACCAGATGCTGCTCGAAAAGGCTCAAAATTGAAATAAAGAGGACAAATTCAGGGAAGCAATATAACACAGAAGCAGAATGAAGAATGTAAAGGCACCAAACCCTCTCTTGATGCCATGACTTTAAAGAGGAGGGGGTTGATGTATGAAGCAAGCTTCCCTTCAGAGAAGAACAAAATAAGGAAGAGAAATACAAAAGATTCCAAAGCCCGTGTGGTTTCCCCTATGCCATAGCATTTCCTGAAATAAGCACTGTCTGCCTGGCGTCTGAAAACAGAGTCCTTAATGATTTAATGCCATCATCTTGAAAGAGAAAATGCATGGGACATACACAGTTGAATTTGTCAAACCAACTGAGGTGGCTTTTGATATATTATGGGTGTAATGACATTTTGAAAAAAAAAAAAAAATCTGAACATCATTAACTTTGCTGACTGTTCTTCTCAGGAAACAACAGCAACTTGACCTGCATGGAGGATGGGCTGTGGTCCTTTCCAGAGGCCCTGTGTGAGCTGATGTGTCGAGCACCCTCCATCGTCCCTAACGCAGATCTCCAGACTACTCGTTGCCGAGAGGATAAGCACAAAGTGGGCTCGTTCTGCAAGTACAAATGCAAACCAGGTTACCATGTCCCTGGATCCTCCAGAAAAGCAAGAAAGTACGTGAAAGAGTAATGTCATGCAGTCAGCATGATTCAAAAAGCCATGAGTTAAAAAGATTTGGGAGGAGGGATGGGTTGTTTATAACGGGCTGTATGTGCTGTAGGGAATATCACTGAGCAATTCCTTCCTGCAGATAGTTGTGCAGTTTCAAGGGGATTTAGGCACCTAGCTCACTTAGGCTTCTTTGAAAATTCTAGCCAGTGCTCAAAAAACAGACCTTACCTTAGAAATACCCTTTTGATATGCAGCCTGGGGAGTCCCCTTTGAAACTCTGCAGGAAAGGGTTAGTGCTGTCGTATACTTCTGACTCTGCACAAACCCACTTCAAACCAACCACAGCCCGCAAGCCTGGGAAACAGAGATTTTGAGAGATGTGTCCAAGGCCAAAAGAGGAGTTTAGACTGGGCAACTCAATATTGGCTTTGCAAATAATCGTTATTTTTGCTCAGAGACCTCGTGACGCAGATTCACGACTTGTTCCCCAAGTGTTAAAAGCTCAAGCACACCCATCCCCTGCAACCTGCTAGCAGAGCTCAGAGCCTTTAGAGGCTCTTAGCTGACTCAGCTGCTCACTAAATGGTCCTTTTTTTTTCCTGCACAAAAAGGCGAGCTTTTAAAATCCAGTGCACGCAGGACGGCACGTGGCTGCCAGGCGCTTGCGTGCCCGTTACCTGCGACCCTCCACCTTCCAAGTTTCATGGGCTCTACCAGTGCTCCAATGGCTTCCAGTTCAACAGCGAGTGCCGGATCAAGTGCGAAGATGATGATAGTCAGTCGGTGAGTCTCTCTTATCCAAATAATCTCAGCCTGTAAAAGTATGGTTCTATCATATGTTCCCTAAGCACCCTGATGTTGGAGGGGCCAGGTGCTGTTGAGCTCTTCTGAGACCAGAGATAGAGAAATGGAGAAGGGAAATACATAACTAAAGTGGGGGGAGAGAGCTATTGTGAAGAACCTGGAAATATTTTTATGATAGTAGTAGTGGTGTTAACCATTACCTGTAGAAGACTAGTGGTGAGTGAGTTACTGTTTTCTGGGCAATAAATGGTGGAAAAATCTGCTTCGGTGCCTCTATGATCTATCTAGGAATAAGGAGTGATAGATGAAAGTAAGCAGGATATGAGTTACCCGCACTTGTCCTGTTTGTTCATTCCATTTAACTTGGTTTTCTCTTTTATTTTTCTGCACTATCACTATATATATGTGTGTCATATGATAATTTCACTTGATAGAGATTACAAGTATTCAGGTGAACTGTCTCCAAACTTCCATGTTATCCTGGCTGTGAAGGTGTCATTTAGCATCAGGGGTCAGATCCTCACCTGGCATAAATCAGCGTGTTGCCTTTGGCTTCCTAGGAGTTGTATTCGCTGATAAGAGAAGGTCTGGCCTTCAGAGTCTTGGTTGAAATGCTTAGTTTTCCTCACCAGAGGTAATTATAGTTTGTGAGATAAGTCACTTCTCCCAGAAGTGCTGCTGCTGCTTAATACGTTTGGAAAGAGACAGTGGGGATGTAGGAGCTGCTGCAGAGCATGGGGAGTGCTCTGTCCAAGGCCTTTTAATATCATTCCGGATTCTAAGGCCATACTGAAAAGGGGTGGTGATCTCAAAGACACTTGTGATGCCTGCTCCAAAGGTTAAGAGCCAATTACTGTCCCCGTCCCCTGCCGGGCTGGCCTGGCCTCTCCACAGGGACAACAGGCAAAGTTGCATCAGGGCACCTGGATAAGAATTGCGTGAGGTTACGAGCTCTGTGAAATGAGAAGTTGCACATGTGGGTGCAGTTCGGGTGGGAGCTCTGGGTGACGGCGTCCGTGCATCTGCCACTTGCTGGGACCAGTCAGCGTGGCTGAAGACATGTACCATTGCTGCCAGTGCAGGGAAATCCTGGTGATGACGACAACTGGTGTAACGGGTTTGTGTTTGCTTTTAAATGAGCTGGACGTGAAGAGGAGCAAGCAGTATTACAGGGTTACAGCAACAATGAAGTGAGCTCTGGAAAGTGAGAGATAGAGCTATGTCTCTATTCACTGCAAGGAAGAGTGTAGCAACTGTTCAGCTGCAAAAGCACCTTGGGCAAAGAAGCAGATAACATCTTGAGAAAGGGATTTGCAGAGAAAGGTATTTCCAGATATCCCAGAAAACAGACTAGAGAAAAAAAGGGAGGACTCCTGGCACAAGCCAGAACCACTTGAGAGGTGTTAATTATTTAAGGATTAAACCCCACTAAGTCTCTCTCAGCTATATAAGGTGATAATGCACGTTGCATCCAAGCAAGAAACCCAGCAGGGATTTTCACAAGAGATTTTGCAGGTCAGGGAATGATGGACAGTATGTTACTATAGCAATGGATATCCTGGGATCTGAGAGTACGTGTCAGAAACTGTACAACAGTACCCTCCAGCACAGCCAGCTCCAGGAACATAAATCAGGTTTCATGCCTCACCTTTAAAAATCATGCTTGAACCCTGGCATGCAAATTGCAATGGAAGTGCACCACTCTTGCTAAAACAGCAAATAGTGCTCAATTAGCACTTAGCGATCTCTTCCTGAATTTGTCACTGCGGTGAAAGATCATCGCTCCGCTGTACATATGGCATCTCTTCATCACCAGGAATGTAATGGTCATTTAAGCAGGTACCTCCCCTGGCACCCAGAGCAAGGGTCTCCCATTTCTGAATATTGTGCACAAATCATATGAACAGTCAGATCAAAATAAATCAGGCTCTGCCAAACTGGCCCTTAGGTGAGAGCCACCAAGCTGGGTCACACCCTGAGTCCATCTGGTCCATTATCCCTTCATATGATTTTCTTACTGCTTCTGGTAATGGCCAGATGTCTAGAGGAGGGGAAGCAGGTCCCACGCAGTAGTTGGCCAGTAAGACTGCTTTGCATCTCGCTAAACATTGTGTTCATCAACAAAGCTGAGCAAAAAAAGCATTAGGATAGCAAGTACAAACCAACACTGAAGTCTGAGCAACCTTCCACACCGGTACCAGGGGCTTGTGCAGATCCCTGTGCAACAAGGGGTGTGGGGCGTGGGGAAGAGCTCTGAAGAAAAGTTCAGCCACCCTTCTGGGGTCCCAGCATAGACAGCACACCAAGGGATCCCCAAAGATACCAAGCAGGATCTCCAAGAGCAGGGTGGGTTTGCAGGCAACATGCCTGGCACGTAAAACAGGCGAGGAGAAGCAGAGGTCCTGCATGGTTCTCCCACCCAGCAAGACCCTCGCGGGAGGTTTGGAGCCCAGCCACACCAGACATCCTCCTGTTGAATGTCCCACATTACCCCACGGCAGTTAAGCTCGCAGATCCCACAGAACAGCTTGCGCAGAAATCCCCAAAGCCGTGAGGATAGATCTGACAAAAGATTGCCTGTGCACTCCTTTGTTGTTTCTAAAGGGCATGATATTTCCCCTCGGACTTTGGTATTCATTCTTCGGTATCATACAGAGAATCTTTTCTATACGAGAAATGTCATATTCTATTCCTTGCCCATTCCCACACCAGAGGATTTTTTTTTTCTCCTTTCCACCTGCCTCTGTGCGTGTCTCAGCCTCTTCTCTTGCTGTCAGTCAAGGCAGCCAAGCTCTAAAGAGCACGTTCTGCCCTGCTAAGCATCCCTGCTCGTGTCCCGCTTTCCCTCCTCCCTCCGATGGCCATCGGGGATTCTTTCTTTTTCGAGACAAAGATGATGCAGCTAGTTAGAAAATGGGAAGAGGGAAAAGGTTGTCTGCATTCAGCACAAACCTCTCAACAGTGAGGCAAATGGGGTGAAGGCACCTCTGTCGCAGCGAGAGTGGGTCTATTTTAAGGTAGAGACCTTGCAAGGGCCTTGTAAAGACATGAACTTGCACAGAAGAGGCATGTTTGTGCGCAATGCAGGTTTCCTTTTTTTTTTTTTTAATTCTTTGGAAGAAAACAACTCCTTGCCCCCCTGTGCTGGCCCTCTCAGCCAGGGCTCTCCCAGCTCCAGCAGCACTTTGCTCCCAGTTCAGCTCTGCCTGCTTCTCCCTTCTCAGCCTGTCCTCGCTGTGGTTTTTGTGACCATCCTCAATCTCTCCTTTTCTCCTTCCCAGGGCCGTGGAAGCAACGTGATTCACTGCCGGAAGGATGGCACCTGGAGCGGCTCCTTTCATCTGTGCAGGGAGATGCAGGGCCAGTGCACGCTGCCCACGCAGCTCAACAGCCACCTCAAGCTGCAGTGTGCCGGCGGCTACGGCATAGGTGTGTGAGCATCCGTCCCGGCCGTCCACCACGGGGAATGCGGCTCAGGCAGGAGCTGTGGGGCGGGAGATGAGCAAGAGAATGGGAACAAGGGGTAGGGAGGAAGGAGCCTGCAGTCCTGGAAGTCACCCTCCTGTTTACCCGAGTGAGAGGCTGCTACGGGAGGCTTTTCAGGGAACTGCTTTGAGGA